TCTTTCTCTCTCTCTCTCTCTCTCTCTCTCACACACACACACACACACACACACTCATGAACACAAAACATACACAAGGTTGCAGAAACTCACACACATAAATCCCCTTGCTTTCACACACAAAACCAGACTGTTTTTCTGGCCTCTTTTCATATACAACATTACTCCCTCCAAAGCCCGTACTCAAAAAAAAAAATAGCAACCCCCCCAAACACTTTATGACTGCTACTCCCTTCAAAAGAACCCTGAAAATTCCTTGTCTATTCCGACCCCTCCCATGGAAAATACCCTGCATTATACACACACCCAGCCACGCCTACGGCACTCCACCCGGACCCCAAACGTTGCTCAGTCTTCCCCCGTCTTCAAAAAAAACGTTCTTCGCTCTGCCACTCCCAGACAAATCCACAACAGGACAACACAACGTGGCCCCGCAGGCCACTGCAAACCTTGACTCAAGCATAAACGACTGAAAGGCGTCCTCACGAAAAACAAACATCCATCCGCCATACCCGCCGATATATCACTAGCTCCCAGAAAACAGCGACAACACCCTGACCCGCCCCATTCCGTCTCTCCCAGACACCGACGGTTGAAAACAAAGAAGTCCCCCCTCACTCTGATACATACAAAACTCCCGCCCCGAGCAGACGCTTACAGATACTGACGTCACCAAACCACTTGCATCTGTACTAAAATCAGAACCTTAATTTTTTATCCCTCCGCACCCCGATACCTCACCTTCCCCCTCATGCCAGTCAGTCTTTCAACTCAGCTGAAACACTCCCAGACCCACATCTCACCCACTATGGATCTAATTCCTTCCCTCAGACTCCCGCCCAGTTCCGACTTACCCGCCCTCCCATCACGCCTGCTCTACCTCAAAACTGCACTATAATAACAGCCAGCCACACCTCTACCTCCTCCTCACACTCATAGTGGACTCGTGCTCACCCACTTCTGCTTTGCTTCGGAGTCGACTGCGAACTCCCCACTCGTGACTCGAACGGACGGAGGATCCTGCATTCTATCCTTCCTCCTCCTTTCTCTCCCCCACTTGTCTACTCCGACGTTTCGAAACCACACTACCTCCATCAGTGGAGGGTAAGATTCAGTCCGCTTCCTCGCACCATGGCCAATGCAACAAAAGAACTCGTCACGGATACGGAGATCAATGCCCATGAGGTACGTAGCACCCCTTGGCTCCACCGCCCTACCTCACGTGTATATGACTATGCTCACCACTCTTATAACTATTACCGCCAACCTCTCCCCCTCCCATATCTTGCCTACCATCCCCCTTGGTCTCACCCTCCTTCCCTATGTGTCTCTCCTTGCCATTCTCCACCTCATTGGTTTACGAAGGAAAGACCCTGCTTCACTGGTAATTGGACCATTTGAAGAGGAACAAGCCTTCTCTGTAAACTACAACCCCCCTTCCCTTCCCTCTCGATCTCTCCTCCTCGTCCAACTCCTCTCTCTCCTCCCAGAGACTGGGCTCCACGCCCGCTTACCCTCTGATGAGCCGTCCAATGGCACGGGCGGCGAAAAGCGCTTCAGGGGACGGACCAACCCCCTCCCTCTCTTGCTCACACTTTCTTTCTCCCCCTCTCTCGCTGTTCCATACTTTCCTCCCCTGTTTCTCCCTTCTCTTGTCGTACTTTCTGAAAGTGGTAGCCATCTTCGGTGAACTGACTGATTGCTGCTGGGTTCCCCCCTTTTTTTTGACAATTATGAGAGGAAATGGAGTAAAAACATATGTTGTTCCCGGTAAATCGGGTTGTCAATGCTTATGCATTTGTTTGCTGTTTACACACACACAGGATTGCAGGGTTGGTGTGACAGGGGTATCGCTAACGTGGTGAGTCCCTATCCATCAGTCAAATGTATCCTGGGCAGACTGTTGGGTTCAACCTCCTGATAAGTCAGTGAAAGTCCGACGAAACAGTCTGGCACAGTCATGCTTCTTTTGTGGAGTTGTGTATAGCGAACATGACAACACACACACACACACACACACACACAAAAA